AATATATATATATATATATATATAATGAATTGAATTATAATTACCACACAGATTTTGATTGTGTAATGATTAATACAAAATTTATGGACTTGTTATGAAGTACAGGCCATGAAAAAGTTATATTAATATTAGAACATTAATTATTTATTAATGGTCTAGAGATTCAATAAAACGCTATTTTATAAATTAAATATTAAAAATTATTGTTTTATATATTATTTTTTTAAGCGATTATCTTTTTTTAGAAGAATTTTTCTTTGCAAAAGATTATTTAATATTTTTTTTATAAAATATAAATAGATTCTAAATCTACAGTTATTTTATAATACAGCATTTTATATCTATATAATATTTGATACTATACTAAAGCTAAGCTTACTTTAAAATTATTATTGCAAAGAAAATTTAATTGCATTTTATTCACCTAGAAATAAGCTTATATACAGTACAACAGGCAACAAATTCCAGAGTTCCATATTATATGTATAAAAATTTATATTTAAGAGGAGCTAATATTCATTTATGTATTTACAAATACGTTTTGGTCTAATTGGCTAAAAATTTATAATATAGAAAGTTTTTACCAATCAGGAATAGTTCAAAGTCAATCAATTTCAATTGTTTTAACAGAGAATTGAATTTAAAATGTAAAAAAATAACAATTGCAAAAGAGTTTATGATAAAATTTATACAGAATTAATTATTATCGATTGTAATTTTTGGATCAAGCCTATACAAAAGTAAAACGAGTAGAATGTAATAAGTAATTTTTTGAATTTTTTATTTAAAAAAAGGAAAACAAAATAGAATTTTAACAAAAAAATTTATGTTATAGTTTACAGTCCTGAAAATTTATTTGTAAAACACAAACTTCTTAAATAATAGCCTATTTAGTAAATTTAAAGCCTTGTTTCATTTCACTGAATCAAAATAGTAAGCAATTCACATACGCCCAACAATTATTAATTTAATGTCAAGTTTTTTCGAAAACTTACCTTTTTCAGAGTTTTATCATTTAAAAAGATCAGAAACAAAATCTTACATGTATTTTTTTTTTTCATTTAGAAGTTTTATTCATTAAATAACAAAAACTTAAATAATTTATTTTAAAAAAAATAAATTTTCGATAAATTTTTATGAAAACACACGTTACTTAAATAAATAGAATATAATTATTTATAAATAATAAGTTTTAACATATTTTGTTTATTTTTAATATTTCAAATTAAGTAAAGAAATTTCTGCTTTATATAACTTAATAGACGTATTTCACTTATTAAATGAAATGAAGAATTGTAAAAAACAAATATAATTATATGAAATTTTTAAAATTTGTTATTTAAAAATATTCTATGAAGTAATAGTCTGGGATCCTCTAGTATAACAAACTTATCATTAATATTTTACATCTTATTATGAAATATATTAAAGGAATCTTTATTATGAAAATATAGTTTTATTCTGATCTATAGGCCGATCTTTTCTCTTTATTCCAGAGAATGCAGTTTTTATATATAATAATAAGCGTAATAATTTATTACCTTCTAGACATAATCTCCTATACTTCAGAGAGCACATAAAGAATAAATTCAGGCTAAGTATAAAAAATAGATAAGTAGAAAAAGTTTTTATGAAGAGTAAATCAATTCTCGAATTATCAATAAAATTCAAATTAATTCATTTTGAAAATAACGCTTTTGATAAATTATAAAATTAAATATTTTAATAAAGCATTATATAATATTTACCGGCATAAAAAGATTCTGTATAATTACATTATCTTTACAGTTTTCAATTCCATATACAGTATATTATATATAACTTACTGTATACAGTAATACATTTCTAAATATAAATTTGTTTAGATTGTAAGTTTTTCTAGACTCTTCCGAAACTTTTATTAACTAATAATAACGTAGGATTAAATATAAAAGTAAAATTATAGACCTAAAGGTAAAATACACTTTACATCTGATCTATACGTTCGAGTGAGATAAATTGGAATAGTATAATATATTAACAACCATTGATTATATTCAAAATACTTTCCAGTTAATTGATTTAAATGAGATGTCAAAAAAATCATTGGTAAAACTTTTATTTCTATTTAATTTATTTTAATTATTCAATTAAGTTTTTTCATATTTAACTTATTTAATTTCAAAGTATGTAATAGGCCTTTGTATTTTCAAGCTTTTTCATAATAATAATAATAATAATAATAATATTGTTTTGAAAATTTGAATAAAGCTGAATTTCTTAATGTACTTGGAATAGGAAACGATTAAAAATAATTTTATATTAAAATTTGTTATTTTAAACATATATTGGAGGAAGTAATATACCTGTCATAGCACCCATTGGACTGTACGTTGCACCATAATTTGTATCCATGTGACTTAAATTGTGAGCTGTGAGAGGTTCGTGGTACCTGCTAGTTCCCCAGGTATCTGTAGCTTTTTCTAAACCAGCACAACCAGGTGTAACTGGCGTAAGTCTTGTGGATCTGACTGGAGGTTGGAGGAATAAAGAGCCGTATTGTGGATTGAAACGATTAGTCGCACTCATATTTGTGTATGATAAATCGTGAACAGTTGGCCTAGCACCGTATGGACCTGCCGATTGTGCATGTCCAGTGAATGTATAATGCCATGGATCTCCTTGATGAATTGTAGCATGCAAAGTGCCAGAATGATAAGAGTCTGTTGCGTAACTGATGTCCGGATGGTTTGTGCTGGTAGCTGACATGGCACCCAAACTTGTCGATGTGGGCTGATAGTTGCAATTCCAGAAGGATGGTGGAAAATTTCTTTGTGACATAGGTGGACTATCTAGAGAAAAAATAACAATTAAAATTATTTTTGCAATAAAATGATTTTTTTATTAATTATATATTATTATTAAACCAAAAAAATACTTTTATGTTTTAATGTTATTATAGGCCTAAATTAATAATACATTATTATATAAATATTTAGGTTTAAAGTTTATTTTTCAATAATAGAAACATCTCTCTTTGACTGTAATAAATATTAACATTATTAAACTTTCAATTTTGGCAACGTTTTTCAAAAAATAATATTTAACAAATTAGTTATAAAAATATCTTACTTTCTAAATAAAGAAATCGAAATAAAAAATATTCTTTATTTAAAAAATATCTGATTTTATCATCCTTACTTTATTAAGTTATGGTTAAAAATAATGATAGAGGTATTTGAGAAAAATAAAAATCTAACTTTAAACTATAGTAGCATGTCATACAATTTTTTTAATCTTTAGAATTTCGGCTTAATGCCAACAATAGCTTGCTTATTCAACTGTATCATATTCAATGACACTTTTTACTAGGTCATTCATAATTGTTTTTGTTTCTCAAGATATAATTGGCTTCAAAACTTTTCAAATTTTTATCGTTTATATGGATTAAACTACACTGTGTCGTTTATTTTATTACTTTAAAGAGTCCAGTCTATGATATATTGTAAAGTAGATTTAACTTAGAACTGGTCTATAATAATGTAAACAAAGTAATAAACTATTTAATTTAAATATAATAATTATATATTTATTTTAATCATCAAAGTTTTCTAGCTGATGCGATATTGAATAAAAGAACAAAATTTCGTAAATTAAATTTTGTATAATATTTACAGTAAAAAATATATATATAATCAACATTTTTAAAATTTGATACAGTACTCGATATTAATGAATAACAAAATTTGAAAATTTTATCAAAAGTAAATAAATTTTAGAAAATACCCTACTATTGTTGAGAAATTAAACACTAATTATAGTTTATTTAGTGTCAACGGGGCAAAAAGAAGTTAAAAAAAACCCTAAATAATAATTATTATTATAGTTAAAATTTCTTTTAAAATAAATAATCTTAATTAAATTATTTAAAAATTTTAAATTTATTATTATCTTCATCAGTTATTCTAACAGTTTAATGTTTTACAAGTAAACGTTTTTAATCTCAAAGAAAAAACCGAGTTTAGGAAACGTTAATTAATTTTATTGAATCAATTTGATGTATTTTCTAAAATTAACAGTTTGTAGATCAAGTGAAGATGTAAAAATCAAGAGAAATATTCTTAAAATTCTTGTTTAACAAAAATTTACGAATTACGCTTTCAAATCTTTCTTTCCTTCTTCACTGTTGTATATCATGAATCACCATTTTACAATATATTTTCTAAATTTAATACTTAAAAGTCCAGCATTTTTAATGTATTAATTTAACGAAATTGTCTTTAATATCTTTTTAATAAAAAATTTCACATTTACAAAATTCCTAAATCCGAAAATACTGAGTTAATTTGATGTAATTCACAGATTAAACCTATTATGAAAATCAGAAATAATAATGGAAATATAATTTCTTAGTCATTGCAACTAAGTATTTAGTTGCAATGCAATACAGTCATTGCAACTAAATACTTAGTTGCAATGACTGTAAAATTTCATTTTACCAATAACGAACTTCAAGTTCGAGAACGTTAAATCTATCAGAATTTTAGATATTAGAGAAAAAGAGGAAGATATGAAACCTAGTTCCATAATAAATTTGTTTTCTCTTATTTTATGAGTTCTTTCTTTTTATTATTATTTACTATGGGATATTGAATGATAATGATGTATAGTCTAAGTTACGTTAAATATTTCTATTATATAACCATAGTGTTGTTAAATTTAAGCATATTTGGAAAGTAATATTATCATTCTGTGTGAATAATATAACAACCTGTATGAACCCAAAAAGTAAACCTGTTAACGGAGTAAACCTGTTAACGGAGTAAACCTGTTAACGGAGGCCTACTACGCAAAAAATTGTTCTATATGTTTTGTATAGAAACTATTCTCCTATCTCATAGTTTCAGTTAAGTTACATCTATCGAAAGCAACTATTTATTAAATAGATTAATTTAAACATAAGATTATAAATAATTTCTCTAGAGTATACAGAAATCTGATATTTCACTTTATTAATCTGAATAGTCATTATTTTTCACTATTATTAGTAAAACAAATCTAAATTTAGCTTATAATTAGCCAATTTACAACTAAATATATTTTCAATTTTGATATATTTGAAAAAGTTGAAAAAAGTGAATAATAAATTTTTTAAGTTAAATGATTAAATTATTCAATAATATTTAAAACAAAAACTAGAATTAATCTATATCGATTTAATTTCATTTATTAGGCTACATAATTTTAGGCCTCAAACATCTAAAATGACGTTTCATATTTTCTCTCTATGCAATAACTTATTACACTTTACTAATTTAAAGACAAAAATATAAGATTTAAGTTAAAAACAATTTTCCGACATTAGAAATTTCTTAAAATAGTTTACTAAAACGATAATAATGTAATGTTATATTGATAGTAAAGAATACATTTTCTTATAAAGAAATAATAACGATAATATCAATAAGCCAATTAAATCTGTTCTTTTTAAATTTAAAAAAATTTTTGAAATTATGTTAAAAAGTTATAATTTATTTTAAAGATCTTAAAATTTTGTAAGTTAATACGTTTTTGTTCATTTTATTCCAATGTATTTTTATGAAAAAGTAGATATAAATAAAAGTAATTAATGTAAATTCATTTTTATAATTCTTTTCAGTTAATAGATAAATTTTTAGCGAATATAATTCAGGAAAAACTCTGCAGAATTTAGAGGCCTAACATACTAATATTGATTTTATTATTTATTTAGTTATTATTCTTTAGTTAACTATTATGCATGCGACTTTATATCAAGAAAAAGATGATACATATTTTAAGCTCTAATTTAAAAAATAATAAAAGATTAAAGCTATTGTATTAAATTTCTTACATGAATAATCTCCAACAATTAAGATTCCCTTCAAGATAATAAGGGGATTTAATTGGATCGGATTTATTCTTTAGGCTAGCTGTATTTCCAATGTGTAGCTACTTACATAGCATTAGAATTGATAATTTTTAACAGTTAATGTTTAAGTTACAATAAAATAATAACTTAAATTTGTAAAATAGATGTGTATAAAATTCTATTATAAAGTAATTTCAAGAATCATATTGTTAACTATTATAATATTATCTTGCACTGAGCTCAAATAATCACAATATTTACATTTAGTTTTATCCTTTAAAATTAAATACGTATTATGATATAGGTCTCAAACATCTTACTTTGACTTTAATCATAAGTTTCATTTTAATATTATTATATAATATTTTAGTTGTGATCCGTATGTATTTTTCAAATATACAAACCATACTTTTTTCTTTAAAAATATATATGAAACACCCAGCAAAAATTTCTGTTATTATAAAAAAAGCTATTTTAATCTTTAAAAATTATTTTTAAAAACAAAAGAATAATAATTAGAGCACCGTGCATAAAATTTGTTATTAATTTACTTTAAAAAATTTTAAGAAAAAATTTAAAACAATGAAAAGATCCTTCTAACACTTTGTATAAATTTTATTGGTAATTAATTTCCAAACAAAATTTAATTATCTAAGATAAACTTTAATGAAATAAACGAAATTACTTTATCTACTTTCTTAATTGAATCGGAAATATTAAAGTGGAGTTATAAAAAAACTGGAGAAGTTCATTTTATTAAAAAAAAAATTCCTGAATGGTTTGGAATTTAAAACTTTAGACTATCAAGTTAAGAGTAGTTGCTTATAGTTTTTATCGACATGACGACGTTCGGTCACTTAATTACCAACAAAACAAGTATTATTTGAAGTCCGAAGAAGTAAATTGAAAGAAAGAAGAGGATGGCTAAGAAGCATGTGACTATAGTCCGTGTTTTAATTTATCACTTGGGCGGTCTGAACTATTCGACCGTTCACGACAACTACGACAAACATTCCCAGTGGCTGTCTCCGTCTGTGGTATATAGATGATGATGGGATGGGAGTTATTTCGGTGAACAACCTCCTCTACCAAAAATCGATTAACTTCTACATTACTCTTAGCTCTATATGTAGATTCTGCCACACATTTTTTTTCTTGTGTTGTTAATCTTGACTTCTGTAGTATTATAACGGGAGAATGAACGCATATTTTAAATAACAGTTTCGTATCTCATCCTTTCAAAGTATAGAAATTTATTTGGATTAAGCTAACTATTCACAAATTTGAAGAAAAGCATTTCTAAAAACAGTATAATGCCTATATTAAGGTTTGCAAACGCTATCTACAAGTTGTTTTTTAATCTAATTTTAACATTTTACGAAGGAATCTGTTGCTTACATGCAGACTTAGTCCGGTCGTGTGGCAATCTGCCAAAATGTTATCAATTTTGTTAAGCACTTTTATCTTTTTCGTGGTGAGAAAATTTTATTAGGTAGATATATATCATTAAGTTTGCACAGATGAAGTAGTCTAGTAATTCACTTTTCTTAAAGATCATAAATTCGGTATAATATAGGATAAACTTAAACATTTACTACCGAGTTCCATAAATTCCAAAAGTTAAGTGACGAAGAGAATCATTATATTAAAATCGCGGGTCTTGTTTAAACCTTTAAACTTCAGTTATTCGGTGTTCTTAGATCTAACTCATTTCGAAAATATATTGCTTTTTAAGGTAATTAAATATAATTCTAAGTTTAGATCTATGCAGCGGCCCATTTAGACGCTTTAGGATCTTTCCTAATTCTAAAACGCTTTCATAATTAGAATTTCTAGATAACTTATATTTTCTAAGTATCTAATATTAATTTAATTAAAACAAAAATATTTTCCATTAAGCAATATTACACTCACAGGAATAAAGAAACTTTGCATAATCTTTAAAAATCTTATTGCAATTCT